TTTCCAGCTGATTCTACCTCCCAGAATTACCCAGCTTTTGTCACTTTGATCCTTTTTAAGCCTAGCAGAATGAGAGCAGATTGTTATTCCATGTATGGTACACTCTTTGAGGAACCCAGGAATTCCTATGAAGCTTGCTGTTTCTTTGGATTGATTGCGGTGAGGGGGGGGGGGTCTATCCAACCTCTAGGGATGTAGCATCTCTATCCAAACCATCTCCCCCCACCCCCTTTAGTTTAATTGCTTCGATTTGTTCGCAAGGAAATTCTTCCTTTTTCTCTCTTTCATATTGTTGTCAATTTCTATGCAGTTTTAGTTTGTAGAATTCTTATTCATCAAAGTTTAGCGTCACCAAGCAACCAAGCGGCTTATACATCAGAAAACAGGATATTGCTAAAGGAGTTTCGGACGAAATTGAGATCTTGCTCCCTTCTCCCCCCCCCTCCGCAGCCGACAATTTTTTTCGTGGGCATGGTAAGATGTGATAAGAAAAAGAGGTGGACAATTAGGTTATGTTGAGGGAGGGGGGGGGGGTCGAAATCGAGAAGGCTATATAAGGGGGCGTGGTGACCGCCTAATTTTCTGCATTGCCATGACACACCCTGTTTCAAAGGCCATTTCTTCCATGGCTGCAATTGATGATAAATGACTGAAAAATCGATGATGCACCAATCAGCTGAGGTTTTCGTGCTGTAATAATCGTTTCTGTTCCGCGCTTTTTTATCCGTAATAAACATCGAAAACAATTTTTCGTTCAACATTCCGAAACACGCTGACAAACAACTCCTGACAAACAACTTTTTGGCTACGATTCAACTAACTTGAGAAAATTCGCTGAAACCATCCCGCTTTGTTAAGTGCCAGCCCTTTCTGACTTGATTTCCTTTTAATCGTTGGCGGTCTTCTCGACTGTCAGCTGACAAGGGCTCTATTGTCGTTAGTTTCTTCATCAATCAATCATCTCCGCCATTCTCATGGACGACATGTTCGCGGCTTATTCTTGTAGGAATTTTTGCTGATTTATGTCTGCTTCCTATACCTCTTCTGATCCATTTCTTGCTGAAGCTTTACCACCCTCTCATGAAGCTTTTTGGATCGTGTCCAACTTTCTCTTCGTGATTCCTTGCCATTGCTGTTATCTAATGAGTTTTTCTTTTGCGGCAGCGAGGTTTTTGGGTGAAATTATTTATTGATTGCTTAATTCTTCGACCAGGTCCTGGTCCTTAGAGGTCTAGATGTAGCCCAATATTCAGGAGTTGTACTCGTACGTGCTAAACCATTGGTGTGATAGATGAGCCTAATTTCATCACTGGACAATTTTGATTGCTTGTCCGACAGAAATGCTCGGAGAAAGAGGTTTTGATACTTCACAGAGCAACTCCTCACTCTTGAGCTACGCCTAGGCAGAGTACAGCATCGTTAGGAGAATCCGAGACGGGTTGTACTTGTTCTCTGAGCACGGAGTCATACCAGAGGAGCAAGTTTTTCCCACGTCCCTGTGCTGCACCCTAGGTTCAGGCTCCTGAGGATGACGATCTGGGGGAAATGTTAGGCCAGCATTGGAAGATTCCACCTAAAAACCTCGTCAGCACGAAAGAGTGCACCGGAAACATTTGTGGGTCGCTTCAATGTTTTCGTTCGTGTTCTTTTCTTGCGTACTCTGTGGATCGCAGGATTTGTTTGAGGGGTTTCATCAGAACGTTGAATTTCAGATGACATCCATATCGATTGTATGTCCATGTTGCCATTGTGGTGATTTGGAAACACCAGAACAGTTATGTGATCACATGTCACGTTCCCACGGCAGTCCGGCTCCTATCCAAGAACAATTTTTCGACAACGGCATGCAATTGCAGGTAATTAGATGACCCATCAGTTTTGTCATCATTATTTCTTTCTGGATGGCGTTCTTATATGTATTCTTCATCTGTCCTCACGTTTCGCCTATTTCGTCTTTTCTTCGGAAGTCTAGAAGTCGAGACTTCTCAGTTTGTACAAGAACAGACCAGAAGCCTTCCCCAGCCTTTCTTTTCTACAGTCTTGTTCGCTGCGGACCATGGGGCGTGTCAGAAGGTGAGGCTGGGTTTGGGTGGCCGTCACCCGCTTCGACTAGTTGTTGAAGCGAGTAAGCGGCAGCAGTGGCGCAAAACGACTGATACGAGTGATATGATAGAACCCTGTCGCTTGCCAAAAGAGAAGAGGTAAAGAAATGGTCTGGCGCCGCTCCATTTAAAAACAAAGAAAGGCGAAGGAAAGAGAAAGTACTCCAAAACACAGATGGTCTGGTTGGCCCTTTACCCCAGACGAACCATCATCTCTCGCCAAACCAGAGGTCATCAGTGAGGTAGGGTTGACGAAACAAGGACAGGGACTACATACATAGGGGAAGGGTTGAGAGAAAAGGATAAAACGAGTCACGTTGTCTCATACAAAACTAGTACAGTAAAAAGGGGGTAAAGAAAGAATGCACCAGAAAAATGAAGTACCCGTCCCCGCTGACCGCCGCATCGCAGCGACATAACGGTATACTGAGGCTGCCCGAAAAGCGGGGCCTTAGACTACTGCACCAGGAGGAGGACCAACCTGGAAGGAGGATCAAGAACCTCTCCCTTTTAGAAAGACGACCCTGCAAGTGCTTTTCTACGAGAAACGTAGGGTTGGTGCGGGTTTCCAAAGAGTGTAAGTTCCGGTTGCTCGATGAGGTCAAGGAGGGCTATATAGGGAGCCTCTCCGTTTTGTGGTATAGAAATGAGGGTTGGTATTGTTTGATAACTGCTGTTTAACGCCGCAGTGCGCGATCCGAAAGTTACCACAAGAATGCTGAGTTATGGGCAAAAATCAGACCACGGACGGGATTCGAACCAGCATCTTCCGCTTACCGAAGAAATGAGAGTGTATTTCAGGCATGGCTATCCAAGGTCGAAGATTCGCGAACAGAAGGCGGCTACATCGGTTCAGAAAGAAGGGCCGTCTGGTGAAGACAAGGTTGGGCAATTCTTTTCACTCGAAGGTCTTGTTAATTTATTTATTTGAATACACCCAAGAGTGTGCCACAGACCCGAGAAAAAATTGAAGCACGCGCAAATGGCACGGTGTAGGACTTGAAAGCAGCAACTAAAGCAAAACATACAAAACTGGGACCACTGGGAACGGAGCGAAAGAATAGGCCTGTGAGTCGAAGTAAGGAAAAGGGAACGCGGACACTTATTGCACAAACATAAGCCATTTCCCCTTAGCAGAAGAAGAGTTCCACGCGAAGTCATGTACTTGGTCCAGAACGCAGAGAGATGACCACAGTACTGGGGCTTGCTGACAACTCGAACAACAACAACAACGAACAAATTCCTCCGGGACCCCAGGCGAACAAACAAGGGAACTATCTTGATCCTACCTATATGATCGCTAATTTGTCTGTATGGTCGTTCGTGAGTGGGTGTGTATGTTGTTTTCCGTGTCGTATGTGTATATTTTCTTAAAAGATATTTGAATCTGGAAATAAAACGTCTACTACCCCAAATAAACAATAGGGAGGAAGTACGTGACATTATGCAAGTCATAATGTGATCGCGTCACATCCCACTGTTTAAGGGTGTGGTTAGGGTGGGTTGGCTAATTTGCCGGAACATTTGGGTAAGTGGCTTGGTGGGGGAGGATCCCATGCGGGTTGCATTTCTGTAGGAACATATCCAGCGGAAAACAAGCTAAATAATTTCAGACCTGAAGAAGGTGCTACGCACCGAAGATAAGATATTTTAAAAGACTTTTGGGACTTTTGCTGTCTTTTGAGTTTTTTGGAATAAAACTTTGGAGTTTCACATTGTTATTACACATTCAATAAGTCTGGTGTGCTGGGAATCTCATAACTCTCTTCAAAACAGCGACTGTGCGCTCAAACTGATAAGTGATGTAGGAGGTCGGGCAGGAACACTATTGGTAGGTGGCAGGAAGTGATAAGAGCTGATAAGATACATAAGGAGCTCTTAGAAAGGTAAGAGTCACCCGAATACATTAGGCCGCGCGCCACCATCAACACGTTTGTGGTTCGCAAGAAAGTACGATATAGGCAGGACGGGGACATTCTTGGTAGGGGCAGTAAGTGATAACAGCCGATAAGATACCATAAGGGGCCTAGAAGGGGAAGTTCAAACATTCATAACGAGCGTTACAGCGACGGTAGAGAACGTTGTTTTCAAAAGTAATATATGGGGCAGTATGGGAACATTATTGGCGGGTGGCAGGACGTGATAACAGCCGATAAAGAACCATAGGGGACCCATTCCAGAAGGGGCCTCAAAATTCAATGCAAGAGTCGGAGCAACAACGGAGAGCTGCATCTTTGCTCTGCCTGCGACTGAACTTCACCACCGTGGCCCAAGATATTAATTGGCACCAAACCTTTAGTGGGCCGCAAATGTCCTATCCCTTAAGGCGATGGTAATCGGAATTGATCCAACCGCTTAACTCTCGAGTACCACCCAGAAGTGAAATCCTAATGTGGTTTCCAGTTAGGAATGATAAGAGTCACCAATAGACGGATATGTGAGAGCTGCTCAACAGATACTAGGCACATTTTTTACTATTGTTGTTGTGTTACATTTGAAAAAGCTTTCCCCCCTTTTTTTTTTTCCAAACGCAAGGCTGTCCCCATTCCAACGAATGGTGAGCGCTGGTAAGCCCATACAGTTGGCAGAAGTTCATTAAAGAGGAGAATTTTGATGAAAATGATCGGCCAGTTGTTTTCGAACGCATGGGAATAAGGCGAATGTCAGGGACGACGACCAAAATTCTGACTCAGTGATCCTACCATAGGTTTTAACACATCTTCGCGGCAGTAGTCGGCGCAGTCACTCAGACTGGTATCCTTTTATATTTCAGGAATACTACTCATTCGACGCGATCGTGTATTTCCCGATGTTCAAACGTACGACGTCTTGTCCGGAATCGCTCGATACTACGAAGGCGATGGCAGTACCGTGTCGTGCACGGCATTTGTTCACGTCATGGAAAGAGTTGATGGGTGAGCGAGTATCGTATATTTCACGATATTCTAGGAGGGTTTCAAGTTTTCGAGGAATACCTTGAGGACATTTCCGCGATAAACGAAATAAGCGGTTAAGTTGGTTGCGAAGCGGAGGTGAGGAGTGCCGTTCAGAGAATTGCAGATGATATGCTGCATGTTAGGGGTTGGCTGGGATTGGCGCAGCTCCAGTCTGTTTTTCTCCTTTTTTTCGGCGAGCGACCACTGGTTTTGCACCAGTTGCTGTCGCTTACTCGCTTCGGCAGCTGGTGGAGAGCAGGGCTAGCGGCGCGCCGAACCCACCTCACTGACACGCCCCATCATCCGCAGCGAAGAAGACGGTAAATTTTTGCGCCCCCGATCATCGCGAAACGTGTCTTCAAAGGCTTTAGGGATCTGGAATAAGAATATGTTGTGTTAGTATATTTTTCCAGAATTTTATCTTCAGAAGCGTTTACGTACGATTTTGCTTGGAGCATGCCGGACATACGCCATCCGATCAAATGAGAATGTCACCACGTGCGTCACGAATGAGGCGAAAGAGGTATAAGAGTTGATTATCTTGCTTGAAAATCCAATGCTTTAAATAAGAGTTTAACACCTTCGCACTTATTCAATCTGGGAAAGTGCATAAAAAGGCAATCGCAGTGAGTGGGCACCTTTTCTAGAAAATCTTACGCCACTCGTGACATAGTATCACAGAAAGCGCAAGAGAGGGTCTAAAAGATTATGATTAGGGTTTCAAAAGACCCTCCGCCGTCCTGGTGTAGTGACCATTTGTGGGTTTTTAACATGGGTTCATCATTCTTATAGTTAGTGAAGAGGAGATTACCATGTCTGTTTAGAATTTCCAAACCGCTGCAATCGGGGCACCCCCTCCCACGCTGAAGATTCCACAGCAGGAGAAGGAGAGGGTATGGATAGTCATCTTTGACCTGCTGACCTGCTGAAAACTATTTGTTTCTATTCTTGAAATCCTCGTTCGTGGGTGGTGCAAGACATCAGCCGCCTCCAGTCGGTGGGGAACTGAAAAATAAAGCCCGAATTCACTATCTGGGACGACCTGCGCTCCGCTCTACCTACCACCTCAGTGACATTTCCCTCCTTCCTATCTTTTTATCAGTTTTTCGGAAATTTTCATGTTTTTTTCTGCTGCACGTTTTCTTAGGGTCAGATACGACCTCGTCCCCTGCCGAAGCGATGCGGTGGTACGACCCACACATCTTTTCAGTGGGAGCCTGCCTCCCTTGGGTAAGGGTTGAATGAAGAGAATCTCTTCTCTGATGGAATCATGGCTTAGTTGAGTTGTAATAGGTTCGCGAAGTAATTTAAAAGCTTCCTGTGGCATCTCGAGCAACTGGACGTGGTGTTAAAATCCTCTCAAGAATTTTCTCTGAAGAACCAGCAACATTAAAAAAATGATGCCAAAAAATTTAGACATTTGGGCTGATGCATGAGTTAGTATAGAGGCCTCGCTCTCGCTTTTACAGGTCGAATCTGAAGCGATCCTCTCAAAGTTTGAGCGACAGCGGCGCGGACATGACTGAAGACACCTTAATTACGACGCCGCTGACGGTCATCAAAGACGCGGAGATGATGTGCACGGACGTGATTGAGGATAACAACAACGTGAACCGATTGAAAAAGGTGATGATTCCTCTGACTTCCAACCTTCCTCCATACAAATGCAAGCGCAGTTTGGTGTACAGTCCTGTTCGCTGCTGATGCTGGGGCGTTTCGGGGCGTGGGGAGGGGGGAGGGGACAGGAGGCGGATGGATTTGACGCGTTGTGTGCCCGTTTTCCATCATAACTTGAAGCGGGCAAGCGACAACAATGGGTGGAAAATGAGCTGGCTCTGCGTCAGATCCAACTCCTCGAACCACCACAGCATCCGAGTACTGCAAATTATTAGCTTGATTTTTACGTTAGTTGATATCTTGAAAACATTGCATTTCAAGGGCGAGGTGGCTCCAGATATTGAATTTGATACGTCGGCTTTAAACTCGCAAATCACTCAACGACTTGATTCAACGACAGATCGACTAAAAGTTATAACTCAGGTACTGCCTACTTACTTCCTACATAACTATACTCGAAATCCCTGAGATCGGGTAGGCGTGGCTGCGTACTTGATTTTAAAATGGCGGCGGCCCAGGTTTTCGTGAGATATTGTCATTTTGGAGCAGTCGTAATCATGTCTACATCTAACACAGAACAAGATAGCAGTTGTTTCAAATTGAAGTATCCACGATGTAGGCGGAAAGTTCTTAGCGTTTTGGGTGTTTAACTTTAAACGATCATAACTTTCTTAACACTCATCGGATTTAATCCAAATAAGCACCATTCGAATCAGCACACTTTTGCCAATGTGGCAGCAGTCGAGAAATCCCATCAAAGAAAAAACTGGGTGGTCGAGAATCCACGAAATCTGCGAAGGTCTTTTTGCCTGGTCTTAATTGATGAAGTATTTTTCAGCAAGGAAGTTCTGAAAATGTCTGAAAAGGTGACAGTCGGTTGGTGAAAGGTCTAGAGAATATGGTGGGTGAGGTAGAACTTCAACTCCCAATTCGTTCAATTTATGGATAGTGATTTGTGAAACGTGTGGGCGGGCGTTGTCATGCAAAAGAATCGGACCCTTTCTTTTGATAAGTGTTGGCTGCAGCTGACAATATTTTCGGTACATTTGGTCGGTTTGTTCACAGTAGGGTTCTGCTGTGATGGTTTGGCCTGGTGATGAAAAGTTATAGTGGATTACAACAGCCGATGACCACCAAACCTGACCAGAATTTTTTTTTTCGCGAGGGTTCGGCTTTGAAAATTACCTCGGTGGTTCCTCCAAATCCAACCACTGTCCGGAACGTCTCCTGTTATCATACATGATCCCATTTTTCATCACAGGTGACAATTCGGCCCAAAAACAGGTCGTTTCTGCTGCGCAAAAGCAATGCAGAAGGAACCTCGAGACGTGCCGATTCCTGCCGGTCACTCCGATTGTGGGGCACCCAATTGTCGAGTTTTTCACCTTCCCAATGCGTTCCAGACCATCTGCAACAGTGGATTTGCCAAGGCCTAGCTCTTCTGCTATCTCTCGAACTGTTTGGGATGGGTCAACCTTCAAAATCCCCCTAAAATCCTCGTCAGATATTGCTTTAGGTCGACCGCTATGAGGCTCACCTTCAAGGCTGAAATCTCCAGAGCGAAATTTATTGAGCCATTGCCGCACAGTGCTTTCTTTAGCACTATTGGGCCCCCACACCTGGTTAATTTGTTGAGCTGTTTCGATTGCGGATTGCCCCAATTTATAGTCGAAGAAAAAAATCGTCCGAAGTGCTCTTTCACATGCTTGAAAAAATCTTGAAAAAAGGGGTTTATCAAGCAATGGTGAAACGGCAATTATACCATCAGATAGCGCAAGAAATTCTCTACAGGATGTGCTACTGAGAAGCAAGGCAGAATGAGTTTTTAATCAGCAGTGAATGTACAAAGATTAGGTGCACAAAACGCTAAGAACTTTCCGGACAACCTAATATCTCACTGAGAAACCTGTCCTGTGCCGTGCTCAAAAGCCACTCCTACCCCGTCTCAGGGATAAAGAGTGTACCTGCATTCGCCGTCATTTCCAGACAGTTTTTTTTGTATAAGTTCTATTGTTTCATTGCACAAGATCCTATATGCAAATGGGAATTTCCATGCAGCTCCACGCCTCTTCTTGGAATACTTCCCTGCAATTATTAATCAATTTGCGAATTAATTCAACGTCAGCAGGGTCTTGCAGTTTTTTGTCCACACTGCTAGTACTACCTTCCAGCGTACTTCGTTATTTTCTTTTCCTGATTCTCACAAATTTTTTGCGATGTCAGCCTCGAAGCCGAAGAAAGTGAGTAATCGCTTTGACATCGGCGGAGTTCGTATGGGGGGGGGACCAAATGGTATTCAGCGAATATGTACGCGCCATCTGGGGATGACCTGTAATTTCTTGTGACTGAAAAGACTCACTCGCTGCTTTACAAGGCTTCACAGGCCTCACCAAAGTGAAACTATTTAGTCGCCATGAACCAGCAAAAAGAACTAGTGGAAGTCCAAAATGCCTCCCCCACAGCCAAACACTCCTTTTTTTTCCTCAACAAAGGGTCTTTCTACTACTAGACACGGGTGGAGCTATCCAGCTCCATTACCAAGAAGGGTGAAGACAGCGACCAGATGAAGTCAAGAGACAGTGGGATGGTCAGGAAAATTGACCGTTTTCTCGACGACTAATTCTGCTAAAGAACAGCTCCCAAATAAAACTCAACTCAGGCCATCTCAGGACAGGAAATAGGTCAGTCAAGATGTATGGATTATGAAAGTTGGGAGGGCTGTTGGCTAAAATGGGATGTCAGTGGAGGCTTGGAGGGGATTGGGAGAGCAGGGAGTGAGGTGGTTTGCTCCCTAATTGTAAACAACATACACTATATGACTGAGGGTAGCAAGAGACCACCTGTGAGAGCGGTGTGGTTCCTGACGAATGAGTGGCAGAGACGTAT